AAAATTATGTTTCTGCTTAGGCTATTGTTCCTAGAGGGAAAATAACGGAGGATGCTGTTATAAGAAAAGTCTATAACTAATCTCACACTTAAGTTGGCCATTCTTATATGGAACAAAGAGTTGAGAAGTATTATATTTGCCTTGTACAGATGCCACACATCAGATGGCCTTCCCTTGACACTATCCAGTCCATAGTGATATTTGGAACCTTCGCCAGTGTTGATACAGGACCATCGTCTTATTCTAATGGTACTTCTGATACCACCAGCACCAGCAGGCAGACAGCTTTATATCAGAGTTCCATTTAGTATTCTGAGGCTAGACAAATGGCATTTTGGCTCATACCTCTGTCATTCTTGGCCACCACAAGATTAAATGCAAACTTCTCAAGAAGTACATTTCCTTCATTCAACAAATATTTACTAAATATTTATTGAATACCAACTATATGCTAGGCAATGTTCTAGGCTTGGAGGAAATAGCAGTGAAGTGAACAAACTCCTATTATATGGCAGCTTATGTTCTAGTAGAGCAAGAGAAACAGTGAATATGTGAAATATAGAATACGTTAGGTGGTGATAAATGCCATGGAGAAAAATAAGGCAGGTAATGAGGTTAGGAAGGGCACATATATTCAGCGGGCAGGGATTCTATATTATACAAGGAGTTCAGGGAAGGACTTACGGAGAAAGGGACATTTGAGCAATGCCTTAATGGGGATGAGATGGGGAGTCTGGAGGGTCTGTGGAGAACTTTCCTGGTAAAGGAACAGCAAGTGCAGGAAATTGAGGAGGGAGGAAGTTGGTGGTGTTGTAGTTAGAGCAGGAGTGGAGTAAAGGGAGCTAAGGCAGGGGCCGTAACGGGCCACCACATGTCGGGGCTTGTGTGTCACTGTAATGACTTGCTTTTTCCCTGAGTGATATAGGAAGCCATTGGAATGATGTGGTTTAGCTATGTTTTCACTTACAGTTCACTTGGTTTGACCTTAGTTTCTCCATTTTTGCTCCCATCCCCGTATGTATTTGTATCCTCTTTAAGGACTTTCTCTTGACTCAGTCCTTTCAACTCAAAGCTCTAGAACTGACCTCCATCTACCCCAGCTTTTTCACACCGGGCATTGTCTGTTGCTCCTCTTGAGACCTCCGCGTCCCCCAGTCTGTGAAGGAGATGACACATTTTGCCACGTCCCCAGGAGTCCCACTGCTTCTCTCAAAACAGTTCCCAGCTGTTTAAAAAGGCTCTCCCTGCTGAGGGCTCAAGCTCTTCTGCTCCGCCAACCTCATCCCTCCTCTTGCTGTCATCTGGCTGTCTTCTGGTTATTCTCTAACATTAACTGAAGATGGCTGTCCCCCAGAGAACTGCCAGCGCTGTGGGGAAGCCAGGCCTGCCTGGCCGACGCCCTGCTGTGTCGTTCATTGACCCCAGGGTCTGACACTTTTCCCATGTTTGGTTCAGCCACCTGTGCCCACAGCCACAGCTTGGACCTCATTTTTCTTCAGGTATTGTCATCTGTGAAGTTTTAAACTCTAATTAGTGTGGAATGAGGTGGGGCACAAATAAATACAATTATACATAGAGCCCAGTCTCCAGTCCAGCTGTGTTCTGGCCCTCTCACCCTCGCAGTACTACGCCTTGGCCTCCAGGGGGAGCTCAAACTCTCAGTCCTGAGGCCTAGCAGGATGGACCGCCTTGGATCATGGATGCTTTGGGTTACAGTACTAGGGGGAAGCAGTGATTAAGTATGTGGGTAATGGAGTCAGACATAATTGTTCAAGTCCCTTTTCTTCCACTTCCTAACTGCAACACTGGGCAAGCTGCTCATGGTCTCTGAGCCTCACCTATAAAATGAGAATAAAAAGGTGTACCTCAAGGTATAGATACGTGAGGAATAAATGACTTAATATAAATGTAAATGGAGTATTCAGTATAGTGCTTACCAATAAATGGAAGCCAATTAGAGGTTGCTTTTCTTTGAGACAAGTGACGAGGTTAAAGGCTATTGTTGTTCCATGGGGTGGTCTCATATAGTTCCTTCTTGTTTCAAGTAGGAATTTAAACTTTTGAAAAGCTTCTGTCGTGGCATTACCACACAGCTGTGAATGGATCTGTTCCCTGCCCCTTCCTCTGCTACCCTAATTCTGGCCCCTTAGCCGAGGCAGGACTCAGGGCAGGGGCCAGGAGGAAGACAGTGGGAATAGGAGGCTTTTGCAAACCTTCCTAAGCTGTAAGACATTTTTTTCTTCTTTGGATTCATTGAACAGGGAATATATATGTAATGCATGTTTTCCTTTTTTTGCACATATATAGCTCATTCCTGAAGAGTGGCACAGAAGCAGTTATTGCTTAAGAACCATTTAAAACAGTCACAGCCTTTTATTTTCACTTATTGTTCACAAAATGGGGGAAAGGATTGTTCCTTTCGTAGCGGCATGCCAGGTTTCTTGAAGGGGCTGGAGCAGACTAACGGCTTCCTCTCCTCTTCATCGCACATTCATTCCTCAACCCACCACACACTGCTTTCTCTTCTTACTGTCCCATTGAATCTGCTGGTCAGGCCCCTGGGTGAGGAACCTGGAGCAGAGAGGAGGGGGCCCCCATGCTGAAGGGGCAAGGTGTGAGCATATCCAGAACCCATGCAGAAATGTGGAGGAAATACAAGGAATGAGTTTGGACGATTTTCTAAAATATGAGCTATAAATGTAAATGCAAGTGCAGAAATAAAGTATATTTATATAATGTATATAATTCATATAGAAAAGGACAAAAAGCAAAGGAAACCCTAAGAAAGCTTTTTAAAAAAAATCCATCTTAAAACATGTTTACAGAAGTTAGATAAGGCAAACCAGTTGTGAAAGTAATGTAAATGACTATTTAGAAGGTGTTTAAAATAGATATACCTGAAACAAAATAACATAAAAGTAAAAAAGATGAGCAAAATTTTATTGTGCAAACACAAACAGAAAATAATAGGATGGCATAAAATTTAATTTTTAGTAAAAAGAGTTTGAGGCAAAATGCAATAAATGTGTCCAAAAGGGAAGTTTTCTCTATGATAAATAAAAAGTACAATGAAGAGTGAACATTACATGTGCTTTTATATGCTAAATAATATGACATCAAAATATGAAGCAGAATACCCCATGACCCAGCAGTTTTACTCCTGGATGCATTTCAATGGAAATGTGTACTTCTAGTCACCTTTTTGGTACCAGAACATTCATAGCAGCACTTTCCATAATAGCCCCCAAATTGAAACTACCTAAGTGACCATCACCAGTAGAGTGGATAAATAAATTGTGAAATATTCACCTAGTGAAATACTATACAGCAGTGAAAATAAATGTTCTGCATGCAGCAGTCTACATGAACCTCATGGTCAGAATGCTGAGAAAAAGCCTTCCACCACACATGAGCACGTGCTGTATGATTCTATTTATTTAAAGGAAAAAGTGGAACAAACAGATCTAATCTCAGAGGTTAGAAGCCAGGATCCAAGTTTCTCTTTGAGAACAGTGGGGCAGTGACTAGCAGGGAGCAGGATGGCGAGAGGGTGTCCTGGGTTTTGGTTACATGGGTATACTAATTTTGTGAGAAGTTTTCAAGCCGTCCACTTGATCTGAGCACTTTCTTTAAATATATTTTATTTTAGTAAAAAATTTAAATATGAAGAAAAATGATCAAATACTGGAGAATTATACAGAAAAATTATTTTAGAGATTTTAGCATACTGCTTCAGGCTTTTTGCTTAAATAAAAAGTAAACAGACTTTTGAATAATATAGCTATTTAGATTGAATTAATGCATATTGATATTATACCTTAAAACACATGTTATGTGTATGTATATACTTAAAGACTTTTTTTAAATTGTTGATTCTATATCACACTAAAAAGAAATCCTAAAGTCCCCAAAACAGGAATTGTACAGGCCATGTGACATTCTGAACTACCATGTGGTAAACTAGGTAATATTATTAATATTTTAAACAACTACAAAAATTAACCACTTGAGATATATCTTAAATAAATATTTGGCCAATGATTAAATCCAGATGATAATTACAGATTATAATTATGATTGTTTCTTAGAAAGTAAAAGTGAAAAAAATAAATATTTGATAAAAGTCTGTCCAGATGTCTACAGCTGTATTCAGGGGCAACAATGGTAAGTTCATGGTCTTAAATGCTTCTATTATTAAAAAAAAAAAAGAGAGAGAAGAAATCAATTATGTTTACAATTCAATTTGGCAAGACAAGTATAAAACAAACCTAAGGGAAGTATAAGGAAGGGAGTAATGAGAGTAAAAGCAACGAACAAAGTAATTAGAAAAGACAAAAGAAAACAATAGAGCCGATGAGCAAATCTAAGTACTCACTCCTTGAAAGGAAAAAAAATAGCACAATAATACAGACAGATCTCTGGCAAATGTAATTAGGAATAAGATGACACAAATAAAAAGAGAAACAAGAAACCCAATCAGACAGAAAATTTTTTAAACCTACGGTGCTTTATGTCATGTTATACCAATATATATTTTTAAATTGCAATGATAAATAGCAAACCTGGGAAATTATAATTAGGAAGATTTGATTATGAGAATAGAGCCCTAATAGATACAGAATTATTGGAGGGATTGGAAAGATCATCAATTCGTGGTTTAAGGTCAGACAGCAATTAGTTTTTCCAACTTCTGAGGAGGACCTCTGGGCGTCACCTGGCTCTCCCAAGGGCTTGCCGTGCCATTCAACCTTGACCAACTGCTCCATCTTGTGGAGTGACTGAAGGAACCCATGATGGAGTGCTGGCCTGCCTGAGTGCAGTGAAACAGCCTTCTCAGAGGTTGTCAGAGGCTCCTTGGGTCAACATGTGAAGTTCTTAGCAGAGGGGCTGTTAAATAGTGAGCATTTGATTAACAGTAGGTGTCATTATCAAATGTCTTTTAGTATATAAGAATCAAAGTATCAATGAGTAATCTTTTGATATTTATATATTTTTTTCAGGCTATCCTGATCCAGGAAATTTTTCCTGGACAGACTATCTGGAAGCTACTCAAACTAATGCAGTTCCTGCCAACGTTTTTAAAATGGTAAGTTGGTATCCTATACACTCTCAGCTTGCAACAATGTCCGTGTTGAATCATGCCTTCATGTGGCAGTTTTAAATTATTCTAGTTTTCTCTTTTTAAATTCAAGTGTTATTTTCATAACCAATTTGCTTCACTTTCAGTTAAAAATACAAAGGAGGTGACTCATTTACTGTTGTTCCTATCACAAAGGAAGGTGATGACGTCCCTCCTTGAGAACCACAGGAGCCCCACCCAGGTGGAGGTGCCTCAGACAGCGCCTGGTTCCCCTCTGCTGACTGAGTCCTTCATTTCCGGTTCTAGCCCACTGAGTGGGAGTGCAGAACCTCCACAGTCTCAGAGACTGTTGGAATGTCAATGATGCCATAATAAAATAGGTGAATTGTAGCCTGTGTGTGTGATAGTTTTATCCATTTTGAGGGAAATGTTGCTTTTAGCATTTGTTAGAATACCAATTTTTAAAGTTCAAATTTGTACTTACATCTTTATTCTAGGTTTGGACCAAGTGTAAATTATTTTGTAAAAGAAAGTGTGTTGATAGTGATGGTGCTCAGGGCAAGCTACCCCAGGAGGCACCACTCTGGTATGTGGATTATTTTGAGCTGAAGACAACAAGGACTCAGAGAACTCAGGAAGAATATTTGAGTTTCCCCTCCTAAACTGCCTAAAGAATTTAAAACAAAAGATCTGTTTCAGGAAGGAGTTATTATCATGACGGCTGTAAAGATAATGTAGGAGAGACGTTACAATAGGAAAGGCACCAAGCCTCTTTTATCAAAAACTCTGTCTCTCCCTGACCACATTATCTATAGATGACCCTGAAAAGAACTGTCTTCCTGCCCTCTGAAGTCCCAGGCCACTACCCACCCCCAACACGCTCCTCGCCTTTAGCTGCAATACTTAAGCAAGCAGCTTAGACAGAGGGATGAGTTGCTCATTTCTGAGTTTCTCCCATGTATACATGTTATTAAACTTGGTATTATTTTCTCTTGCTAACCTGTCTTGTTAATTATTTGGCCAGCCATAAGAACCTTAAGGAAAAGGGCAGAGGGAGATTCTCCCTCTCCCCCCGACAATAGTATAGAGATATTTATGTTTTAAACCAGTAGCTTTCAGACTCTGCTCCCGTTCAACTCATGGTGTGCTCCGGGCTCCCTGACTCATCTTTAATCAGAATGTTATATAGTGAACTTCCACATATGATTTCATTTACTGTAAGTTTTCTAGGGACCAAAAGGGGCTTAAAACAAAATGCTATTTCATTTAAAAAAAAAAGATTATAATAGGTTGGATTAGGGTGAAGAAGTGTAATCAAATTAAGAATGCTAGAAGTTCTGGAGAGCTAGAAACGGTTTTAAGAATTCTAAAAATTCAATAAGCAAAAATACCAGCTGCTTGTAGTCTCTCTTTCTCTCTTGCTTTCTGTTAAAACTTCATTTTACTTTTCCCAGAGGAAAATTACACGAAAATAAAGTAATGAAAAGATTTAGCTTAAAAAGGCAACTTCCAGACTCTGTCTCAGGTTTTCATGGATTCACTTCAAGCTGTGTATCTTTGGCATCTGCAAGACGAAACAATTGCCTTTGGTGTCAGGACAGTGACCTTGGGCAAAACAGAAAGATTTTTTAGGGATCAGAGACCTAACTATAGTAGAAAACTCCATTTAGTAGATGTAAGAATGCATTTTAGAAAGAAAATATGCTTCCACAAAAGCTAGAGAGAAACAAACCAGGTATTGGAGAAAGACTTAACTGTTGATTACTGACAAATTATGACAGGTTTGTTTTCCTATTACTATTCCTAGACTTGAGGAACTCAATACACTTTCATTTTCAGTGAAGTCAATTGAACGCTCTTATGTGTAGTAGCTTTCAAAGTGAAACTTTTTGCCAACCTATAAACAGTATCAGAGTTGTCTTTTGACTTTGATTTTGTTAGATTTCCTTAGTTTCAATGATTTGGTAAGTGCCAATATATTTTTTCCCACTCCATTTTCTTTATTATTGTCTGAGTGTCCATCATTATAGACTCCTGGTTCCTAGCATTTTAAGACTTGGAAGAAACCTTAAATTAATACAGTTTAACATACTTATGTTACAGATGAAGTAGCAAAAGTACAGGTTATGGCTTTAAATTATATTGTGGTATGATTTTAAAACAGTATAACAGTTGAAATTATGTAGCTTTTATCTAAGTATATTTTAAAATGTAGATTTGTAAAAGATCATGTTTATCCTTTCTGATTCTTTATTAAATAATTTTGCCTTCTCAGTCAACAGTTTCTTAATTTATAAGGTTAATTTCAGAAAAAAAGAAAAAATCTAAACCAATAGGTAAACTGTAATAAGATCTTTCTTTGAACCTTGTTGTGATCATTAATGATTTTATGATTTAATCTATCTTTGTCTTGTTAACTATCTTGAAAATGACCAAAAAATTCTTTATCCTCTAACAGGTTTTTATGGAACTGGATGAAATAATATGCATGAAGTCCTATGTGCTCTTGAAACTAAATTTCAGTTGTATTAAAGATCTGAATGTAAAACTGGAACAGTAATATTTTAGAAAAAATTTAGTGGCATATCTGAATTGCTGGATTTTGCGTGACTTTTCATTCTGTTACAGCAGTTGCCTCACAGTTTTCTGCCAACTGTGAAACTTGAAGTTGTGGATAAATGAAACCCCAGGTTAATTCATGTTGCTACGATTGTGGATGTTGATGACCAAAGAATAAAGGTACATGTTTGAGATGATTACGTTGTTATATTGGCAATTTTTCTCACGTTTCCTATGAGACTGGCTACAGAGGCTCTGGTTTCTTGTCAGAGTGGAAGAAAAAAACTTCGACTGACTTCATTTCTAGTCACATGTCTTTGGGGAGAGAGACTTCCAGCTGACAGTGTATGAGAAATGGGAGATCTGAAAATTAGACACGACTGACTATGAGGGGGTTTCTAATGCATTCCTGTTTAGATTTGCTGTGTAGACTTTATAAGTTTTTTTTTTTTTTTAAGCTGCTTTTTAATGGTATTATTAGATTTTTCTTGCAATTGTTGTCATTAAGCACCTTATCAAGAACAATTAAATCTTTGTTTTCTACTGTTCTTTGTCATATCAAAAAAAATAAATAGGGAACCGGCCTGGTGGCATAGTGGTTAAGTGCGCACGCTCAGCTGCGGCGGTTCGCAGGTTCGGATCTGCGCGAGCACCGATGCACTGCTTGTCCAGCCGTGTTGTGGCAGCGTCCCATGTAAAGTGGAGGAGGATGGGCATGGATGTTAGCCCAGGGCCAGTCTTCCTCAGCAGAAAAGAGGAGGATTGGCATCAAACGTTAGCTCAGGGCTGATCTTCCTCACACACGCAAAAAATAAAAATAAATAAATATACTCTAGTCACTGTAGCTAAAAAAAAGATTAGATTTTGAGGTAAAGATTTGATTAACAGATTTCTATACTGTCCTTGTAACATTTGGTTTTTTAAAAATATCTTCAAAATGAAATTTTCCTAAAATAAAAGCTTTTCATTTTTTTTATACAGAGAACTGAAAGCATCTGTGGAATTCAATAAATCTTCTGCAGCATATGATAGTTCAAAAATTATTTTCCACTCAAGCGCAGTTTTTTTCATAGTAATAAAAAAAGATTGACGTCAACTAATTTTAATAGGCACTATCAAGAAAGATGTATTTAAGTTTGATATTGTAGGGGAGGAAGAACTATTCCTCTGCCCTCTAGGTCCTTCTGGCTGGTCTAAGAATTAAATTGACATGAGACAGAATAACAGGAGAAAATCAAACAAAGTTTAATAACATGTATACATAGGAGAAACCCAGGAAATCTGAGTAACTTGCCGGAATGGTGGAAGCCACACCTAAAATACCGTCTTCAGCTAAGGACAAAGGAGGATGTTGGGGGTAATGGTTTGGGATTTCAGCAGGGAGGAAGGCAAATCACATGGAGATGGAAAAGCAAATGTTTGGTAAACAAACGTTGACCATGCCTTGCAAAGACAATGAGAGATGGAGAGGGCTTGGATTAAATGGCCCTTGCTGGGTTCCTCCCTGTCTATCACACCTAGTTTACAGTACACTATAGTTATCTTATGGTATTAGCTCCTTCCTGGAACAGGCCTTCTGTCTTAAATTCTTTTAGGCAGTTAGGGGGAAGGTCAGAGTTTCTTTTGGAGTCATTTGTTCTTAAAAATAATCAAGCCAAAGAGATACATTTTGGGATGGCAAAATTCTGATCTCTCACAATACACGGTTTGATATAATTTAAAAGAAATCTTATTTGCTGCATGCCTAATTTGAAAATAATTTCTAATTCATCTCATAGAGAATAATCAGTACATATATTCTAATAAAATTTAGAGATGAGTATTTGGCTTGGCCATAGGTTATCAAGAGCAGATATTGGCAATGTCCTTTATTCTTCTGACAAATGAAAACAATAAGTATGCTAAACACTATTCAGGAATAATATGTTATAAGTATTTTCTTGCACACAGCTTGTTATTAACGTTTTATTTTAAACTTAATTTTAAGCATATCACTTAAATTCTTACGTATTTGTGGCTTTTTATTGTTTACTCAAACAGCGCTTACTGTGGGAATAACTTTTGGATATCATAATTACTTTATAAATTCAGTAATATTTCATCATTGAAAATGAGCGTCAGGTCTTTTTCTCTGAATTCTTGTTTAACTTTCATTATAAAATTATTGCATTTATAGGAAAATCTCAATCTTAATAATACATCAAATCTTAATGAGACTTTCAATTGACAGACTATTTTCTTGCGATTCATAAGATATATACTGTAGTATCCAATTGAATGTATTTGCCAGCTTATTATGTGATCATATTGAATTAGCACATTGCCTTAAAATATTATTTGAAAAACTTTAGCTCCTAAAGTGATGGTATTTTTTATTTACCATCTCGGCATTGATCTTTTTAAATCTCTAAGAATTTAGCTTATCCTTTCAAAGAAATCTTTCATGAATCTTCTCCGTATTCTTTTTCTTTCATGGTAATTGCGTCCTTTATTTGATGAAAAAGAGTTGAAAAGTGTCTGGTACCTCCAACAGAATTAGAACGAGACGTGTTAGCTCTGCGGTTGTAGGCATAGTGGAAATCCCTTTAAGATTTTAGGGCTAAATTAAGATGCGTTTATGCAAATGACACTTTCTGCCCTGTAAAGGTGCTTTACAAAATGTGAAATGAACTGCTTCCTCGAACTATTGAGTCTGTTAGAATGTATCAATCCTGAATGACATAAATGACTTAGGGCTTTCGGGGTACTCGAGGTCTCACTCAAAGTCTCACCAACAGCCTCTGACCTCAGCAGCCCATTTCCTGGGAGGTCCTGCCCTGGACCCTCCACTCTGCACCCTCCCCTAGGCCGTTGTGCAGTTGGGTAAATGCTTGTCCTGCCCCATGAGGTACAGGGGAAAACATTGTCTGTGGGCCAGCAGTCTTCTGAGTAGAAACAAACTGTAAAGAAGATTCAACAGTATGGCTTAAAAGTCCATCCCTTAGGGGCCGGCCCCGTGGCTTAGCGGTTAAGTGCGCGCGCTCCGCTGCTGGCGGCCCGGGTTCGGATCCCAGGTGCGCACCAACGCACTGCTTGTCGGCCATGCTGAGGCCGCGTCCCACATACAGCAACTAGAAAGATGTGCAACTATGACATACAACTATCTATTGGGAGCTTTGGGGGGAAAAAATAAATTAAAAGTCCATTCCTCAGTGTTCCCAGGGAAAAACAGGCATTGAAAATGAGCATCAGGTTTTTTCTCTGAGTTCGTGTTTAAGGTGATTGAAGGTAGTGGATGAGACTGTCTTTACCAACTGAGAAAGCAGGTGATGCTTTCTTGATCTCCTCTGCCCAGTACATTCCTCTATTCCTTCATTAATGTGCTCATCATATTGTTCTATAATTTTCTCGTTTAAAGTCAGTATCCTTTGCAGCTATGACATACAACTATCTACTGGGGCTTTGGGGAGGAAAAAAAAAAAGGAGGAGGATTGGCAATAGATGTTAGCTCAGAGCCGGTCTTCCTCAGCAAAAAAAGAGGAGGATTAGCATGGATGTTAGCTCAGGGCGGATCTTACCCACAAAAAAAAAAAAAAAAAAAAAAGAAGAGTAAAGTCAGTATCCTTCAAAGACTATTTTTATCATTGGCACATAATAGATGCTTAATATATGCATGAGTGAATGAATGAGTGAGTAAGAGAGTGCATGGCATTGAATGCACTTTACAATCCTGACTATTATTTGAATGTGTACGAAATAATTATGTTAGTCAAAAAGTACTCTTCTCTCATTCTTAATTCCTTTCCTAATTACTCTCCCATTGGAAATCTAGTCCACATAATATACGGGAAAGTGCCACAGGATGAGACCCATCTGGGTTTGAATTACAGCTCTGACTCTTACTTAACTGTTATTAACTTGGTAAAGTTACTCAACTTACTTGAAGTTTCTTTATCTGTAAAGTGATGGGGTTAACAATGTCAGCCTTATTATAGGCTTGTTGTGAAATTCAGTGAGGTAATGTTTGCAAAATTCCTAAAACTGTGCCTGACTCTTTCTAGGTACTGAGTGGTAGCTGCTGTTATTAGTCAGTGCAAATGCCCTGTGCTGCTCTCCCTGGGTGCCTTTATTTTCTGTGTTAAGGAAGGGACCTCGTGGAAGTAATTGTCATCAGTAGATGGAGAAGCTACAAGGCCACGCTCCTTGGTGAAAAAAGCAATGAGCTTGATTGGAGTTTCCCTAAGGAAAGCTAACGTGAGCATATGTGATTGTGCAGCATGCCTGTATTTGTTGAGAGTAGAGTCAGCCTATTTGAACAATCACAATATTAGTAATGATGATAATGATGAGGATAGCACTTAGTTTTTGTCGGATACACTTCTAAGGGCTTTACGTGCATAGTGTATCCTCACAGCAACTTTGTGACATAAGGTACTATTATTATAGATGAGGAAACCAAAGCCCAGAGATGTTAAGTAATTGGTCCAAGATCACAAGCTAGTAGATGCGGAACCAGGTTTAACCCTGGCTTTCCAGCAGAGGTTTTCAGCACTAGGGCTTGTAGACTCCATACTCCTTCCACTGTTGTGTTCGGGTCATCGTACAGACCCTGCTTCGTGCTGGGAGGGCAGACTCAGCATGGGGAGTGGAGTCCACTCGTCGCCCACCCTGCTTTGTCTCTTGTGCTGCGCCGCATTGCCTGTCCCGCCTGGAGAGTTGTGTGTGGGACTGGCATCTCCTGGCAGAGCACAGCAGATCTAGTAAAGACTGACTTTGTTCCTTTCTGCCATTCCCCAGATATGTAGTTTCCCTTATGTGTTTGATTAATTCTATTTTTATAACAGCTTGTTTGAGATATAATTCACACACCATAAAATTCATTGGTTTTGAGTATATTCCCAGAGTCGTGCAACTGTCACCACTATCTAAGTTTAGAACATTTTCATTCCCTGAAAAAGAAAAAGCTCATACCCATTAGCCATCAGTGTTCATTCTACACCTACCCCACCTGCTGGCAATCACTAGTCTACTTTCTGTCTTTATAGATTTTCCTATTCTGAACATTTCATATAAATGGAATCATATAATCTGTGACCTTTTGTATCTGGCTTCTTTCACTTAGCATGATGTTTTCAAGGTTCATTCATGTTGTAGTGTGTATCAGTACTTCACTCCTTTTTATTTCTGAATAGTATTTCATT